TGCTAAAGAGTGGATTTTCCTGCTGGCTGTATCATTCCTCCTGTTGTCTTCCTGGTAAATATGTTTTGTAGTACTCGCATCTCACATTGTGCTTTGCAGAATACAGTATTGAACATAGAAGAATGAATGTTTGTATGTACATAAATATATATGTGTTTATAGGTATGTGTGTATGTGCATATATATGTATGTATGTATGTATGGTAAGAGCACATAGTTAAAAATGAAAACAGAAGTATTTCATTTTTATTGGAGAAAATGTAATGGAGATATTGAGGTAATTACTAGAAAATTTTGTCAGAGCTTTCCTAAATAGAACAAGATGTCACTTTCTCATAGTTATTCAACTATAGTTATATCCCTCCTCAAGAAACTACATCTCCTTACAGACAAACTTTCCAATTATTAGTGTATTTCAGCCTGTGCTTTTGGAAATGCATTATAAGAACCTAGGTGAAGCTGAGATCAGTCTGACCAATCTTCTTCTGCTCAATATTTTTTTCTCCATGAGGATATGCAGTGTGTCTTCAGCTCTGAAACATATTTTTTATAATAAAGAAATTGAACTGTTTAGAGCTTTTCTGCTGAAGAACATATTTTAACTCTCAAACTGTGCATAGGACGAAGGGGGGTTCCATGTATTCTCCAATTTTTTCAGCAGTATCAGCTGGATAAACCAAGGGCATCCTGTGTCAGAATAGTATGCAGGCCAGAGGCTGGAATATTGTTTCTTGAAGTACTTGCTGCAGGTGAATAAGGAAGTTGAATCTGCCGTGATCACTGAGGTGATCCACCATCACCTCCGCTTAACTCAACCCTCTTATTTCCTTTTCAAACAAATGGCACTATATGAGGAGCTTTAATCCAAAGTTAATGATGTCCTGATGACATAGGCATTTATTTTTCTCCTTTCACTGTAGTGGAATTGTTTATTAGGTTTTTAATGAAAGTTTGATTGTGGATAAAACTTGATATAGAATAAGACAAGTGTATAGACTTAGGAAAAGCAGCTAGGATTACTACTAGAAGTTAATTAAAGTAGTGTTGTTTATGCTGAGTTGCTAAAGCTGCATCTGGAAAACCACATACAAATAGACACTAAATGCTTTATTTCCTCTTGATAAATTGTTTATCTTAAAACTCTGAATCTGGATTTTGATGTCATGATTCATGCCTTTGTGAATGAGGGTGGGTTTTATGCATTGCGTTGTATGTGGGCTTACAGTTCGGAACAAATTAGAAATTGTTGCTAAGGCAAAGTCAAATGATCCATTTAGCAAATGGTGTTTGAGAGAGGATATTGCTCTTTTGCTCTATTATTTGCAGCCAGCTATGAGATAGTTGGTAAGTGAAGTTCAAAGAATTGTTTTGTTGGATAAAATTCAAAATATTTATCAGTCCTGGATGATAGAGAGTCCAATGCTTTTTTTTTTTAATTTTACAGTGGTTGTTCTGTTGAGATGCTTGAAAAAAGAATACCATTTAAAGAGAAACAGTACAATGTATTATCCTCAAACTTGATAATTTGAGGGACACTTCCCCGTTTTCCAGTTTTCTTCAGGGAAAAAGGAAAAGTGACTGACTGCAGTAGAATTCCATCTGCATTTAGGAAGTGGTTTTATTTTCCAGGGCCGTTTTTCCTAATGCATCACTCATGTACTTTTTGTGCATTAATATTTGTAACGTGCTTGAAAATTTCCTAGCCATTCTGACCACTACTACTTGCACTGTTGCCCCTAATTCATATGTTGTGAGGAATTCTTATATGGAGATGAGAAACTATTTTTACTGAGGAAAACGTGAGCCTAACTTTTTGAAAGGCCTGTTTTGAAAATGATCGAGGAATGTACATGCCAACCACTCTATGGAACATAATATCTGCCTCTAACTGTTAAGGGTGTGAGTGATTGCTATTACTCCGTGTTAATGATATTTATTTCTTCTGAATTCCATCTTTGGGAGAGAAAATGTATTCATTTTGTGACAGAAATAGTTCCTTGTCTTTTCTTACACAATGTTTTTTGAAATTAGCATGTCTGAACATGGCCTCTATGCAAGGAGAATGAAAAAATAGTGTGTAATTTTGGAGAGGTGCAAGCCCAGGAAAATCAGCAGTTTCTTTTGTTTCTAATCGCTTTCGTACCGTTTTAAACAAATCCCATTTTTAAAGAAAAACTACTGTTTGTTACTATACCCAGATATCACTGGAAAAAGATAGTTGCTACCTTCTAAAGAAAAGTATCAAACAATTGCTGGTTACAATATGTTTTTATTTCTTCTTTATTGTTTAATGAGATCTATTCCCAGAGCTAGGCTAAAATATTCCGTAATGATGATGAGAAATTTTGAAGCCAGGAATTGTCTATATCTACTTTTTTTTTTTTTTTTTTGACTTCCATAATCAATGAAATCTCAGTCTTGCACTAACCTCCTTTCGGGAAAGCATCAATATCCATCACATCAGAAACAATCTGTCCTACTTCCTGTTCATTATTTTTGTTCTTGGACAGGCCCTAATAGTTTTTGAAAATCCATTGTTTAAAAGTGCCCTCATCTTTTCTTGCTTTTGAACCTGCTTCTCCTTATCTTACAATTTGTTTGCTATTTTAATGAATTGTAATCAAAATATTAAATTTTTTTTTTAAATTATTTTGGCTATAAAAAATTTAGGCGTTATAATAACCATCTATGAGGAATTCCTCGAAGTCTTTTTCACAAACTATATGTTTTGCTTAAATATGTCATTACTGATGGAAAAGTCACCATGGTTAGAACAAATACTCATAACTTAGATCTAGAATGATGTTTATTCAAGGTCATTGTAATTTTTGCAGGATGAAAGCAAATTAATGGAGAGGTAAGTAATTACATTACAATATGTACATACTAACCAAGTGAAAGTGCTTACATGGGGAATTTCAAAGAACCTTTGAAAGCAAGGTGTTAAACCAGAGCAGAATTTTGAAACAGCAAACTTAAAATTTGTTTTCATTCAATCTTTATGAAATACACAGTGCATCACGTACATTATGTATTATTTCGATTAGTTAAATTTTACATGCAAACATTACAATCTAAGCCTAAATTTCCATACACAGAGATTCTCCGGTTTTCAGGCTTGGTACTGTGCCTCAGCCCTATATTGTTCTAACACTCCTTCTAACCGGTTTAGTCTCTCCTCCAGTCTTGAACTGAACCTGAATATGAATAAAGACGCATGAAGTTCTTCCCTTTGGGAGGCAACGACTTGTATTCCCTGTCAGGTGAACAAGAAACATGATTCTAATTGTTTTTTTCAGGTGTGTGGCCATGTACAAAATCTCACTATGTATATGATGGCAATAGGAATAAAGTAGCATGGTCTTGAGTGAACTTCCTTAGATAACCACTTATTCTACCTATAGTATGGGTGAAGACCGCTGTTGTGACACGTCAGTCTGTTCCAGTTCATACAGCAACTCTCAATATCTACTAGACTATCCAGGCCTTACTATCTTTTCTTCTATTTTCTCTATTTACTGCTAAAAAAATTACCTGTCAGCATAGATGCTAATTGTTCTGGGACCTCAAACCCATAAGTAACTAAGCTCATCTGTGCCAGGGGTAGGGTACTGAGTGATTTTTTTGCGTGTACGTGAATGTTCTTACTTAAAATTTCTGAAAAATGTAAACACATGACACTGACTTTTTCTAAGTAAAACTTCTTTTTAGTTCAGAATGATGCTTCTTCTTGAATCTTATTTTACTTATCTAAAATATATTCCAAATATATCAACATAAAAATAAAACATATTTTAAAAAGTTTTTGGATTCGTATTAAAAAATATCATCTCATACTACCTTGAAACAATTTTTCTTTTTAACTTTTGGAAGTGAAAGTGAACTGCAAATGCCTTTACTCGTGCAGCACTGCTGGCAAGTTTTTAATCCAAACTCATCTCAGCTTTGCTTTTTCAAGAAAGTGTAATATTTGTGTGCTACAAGCTGATCAGAGACTAACTCAAAAATACCAGTCTGTTGTGAGGGTGGCATGGCCAATGTTTTCAGACACAAGAACTGTAACATAAAGCTCTTGTAATTACATTTCTAATAGGCTAATATACAGAACTGAAGCATCAGCAGAAAATCATAACCATTTGTTCCTTCACTGACTTTCCTATATACAAGCAGCAAATAAAATTCCATTTTTAAAGAAAACATGAAAACACTCTACTAAGTGTGCATTGGCAAATAACGAAAAGCCAAGAATGAAAAAAAAAAGAGAGATATATAGCAAAGGAAGTAAGTTAGTGGTAGACATATGTCTATGTTAGTCTATAAAAACTATGATAGAATACCACACTTCTAGTAGTTACATCTTTTAGTATGCATCTGAGAAATTAAAGTCTTCTCGTTGTGTATACAGCTTCAGCTTTGCTGAAACATATTTATAGGAAAATAACTTGAAGTGAAAGCATGATATTGTATTAGGAAACTTTGGATCAAGTGTAAACTTTTGGAAAATTTTACATTTTTTTTAAAAGTCTCTACAATTCCCTAGGCCAGGTTTACCTAAATGAGAGTAATGAATATTAATGTCATAATGTAGGGTTTTTTTCCCCCATAATGAATGACACAAATGTTTAAATGCAATGGGTTGTTAAAGTTGAATGGAGGATTCAAGTTTAAACATATAAATCAATTTGCAACGGTACCCCCTTGATCAGTAATGGGATACTCTAATTTTAATGGTGTCAAGTGTATTTATCCACAATAAAAGGAATGTTGATTACTGTACTCTTTGTATGCAAGTCATTGTTCAGCATCTGCTTTTCAGTGGTGGTTTGTAATAAGAATGATTACAGTAGCTTCACTTCAGGGTGGATCATGATTGATGCTGTATCAAGGAGAACCTGGAATCTCCTAATGACTTTAATAGTGTCTATTTCTTTGTGGAATTTCTTTTCATTTTCTTAAAACAACGGGAACATTTCTGATTGTATAACCTTATCTCCTGTCTCAGGTCTCCTAGAAACCCTGAACAGAAGATCATTAAACGAGTGATTGCTCTTGAAGGAGACATTATCAAGTAAGTATTTTAAGCCTTAGTGTCTGAGTCTTTATAGGAATAGTGCAGCTTTTCAGTGGATTTTAAATCAGTATCCTAGACAACAAGAACTTTCTAGTATTTTCTTTCTATCTATTCTTAACAGGGATGTCAGCAATGTACCTGTCTCCTTTTTAACGAGAGGAGAAATGGTACACAAAACTACTCACTCTCTCAGGAAAGGTACCAGGGTGCAAATAATGCTTGTTGCTTAGAATATCTCTGGCACATATCATGGCAGTGAATTGTAGAGCATCCAATTGTAGAGAGTCCAATTGCTGTTTCATATAGTGATTGGCAAATAAACGTTGGATCTGGAAGGGGGGGAGAGAGGGGAGTTATTTGTTTGTTTCTTTTTTTTTCTTTTCTTTTTGAGACAAAAAGTGCTCATAGATGACTGCTTTCATTGCAGTTTCTAGGAATCTGTAGGAAATATGGTAGAACTGATCTGGAGTAAATTATTCTATCAATCAGAAACATTTATAGAAGGGGTAAACTCTAGAGTACTTAAAAACTTGGGTTGCTCTGTCAGATAGACCTTACTGCTGGGGTTGTTTGGAAATAAATTGCTAGTAGATGTAAATCAAAAGTTTTCATGGAAATGTTATCATTCTGATGAAAATGATTTTTTGAAAAGGATTCTTTTTCCTAGGTTAAGATTGGAACTGGCATAGAGTTGGGAGTGTAAATCCCTAGTTTCCCATGCCAGGATATGAATATCCCTGGGAACTCTCAGATGATATGGCAGACTGAGGCTTGGTTTATTTATATAATGATTCTTGCTCTGGTTTAGTCCTTACCAGTTGTGATTCAAGTCAAGGATTTGAGCGTAGTCTCAAGGAGCCCTGGTTAATACCAGTGCCAGTGGGCTGTTGGGTAGTATACGGTATGCCTATGTCCTTTTTTTCTGCCTTTCCTCTTGCAGTCAGTATTATTTATATTTTAAAGAAAAATTGCAAATAATCTCAGTCTGAGAAATAAAAATAAATCCTGACATTTCTGCTGTAGCACAAAATCTGAAATAACAAACAGTAGGAAAAGAACTCAGTGTCCAAAGACTAACATTTAGCTATCACTTGTGAGAAGTAAAAACATAGAAGTGGTGTGAGCTATTGGCTGCTGCCTTTTATAAGCCTATATCCTTTAGAAGATACTTATTTCTTGATGTAGTTGATGTTGGTGCTGTAATTCTTGTAAATAGAGTGCTATTTGTAATTTGGTATTCCTGATCCATTTCTGTAGCAACGTCAGAAAGACAGCAATACAAAGCCACTTCAAGTGTTACTTTTCATTGTTCTATATTATTAACATGTGTCTGGTTTTTGGAACTGAATGGAGTTTTTGATAACACTAAAGATGTTTAATAATTTAAATTTGAACTCTAGAAAATTAATTATACTGTATGTTTAAGTGCCTGAAGACTCTGAACTTTTCATTAACTTCTATGGGTATTTTTGGCCAACTGGGAAAACCTGCGGGTGCATATTAGCCATGTGAGTGTATGTATAACACTGAAGAGCCTGTAGGTTAGTGTATCACTTGTGGGTACAGAAGACTGTGTGATGCTCCTCAATTTGTCTGTGGTAAAACAGGTTGGTTCATTTATTTTTAGAAATATTAAAGTCAGTAATTCAGATGTGCATTTTTTTTCTATTTGACCAAATGAAAATTCTCCTAGAGTTTTTACTTTATCTGTAGAACCTAGTTTGTTGATTAAAGAACGTAAGATAGAGCTGTTGAGTTTTTATTGCATGTTGCCCCTTAATGGTGTATGTATAGGGAATGTGAGTAATACTTGCCACTTTTCATAGCACTAGAATAAAGCAAAACTTTAGGTAATAAAGTAAAATGGCAAAACTGGCAAATTATTTCTAAAATATAAATTATGTATTTTTGTAATGATAATGCAGAGAGATATGTGACTAGGAGATTTGTGAGTAAAACAGATGACTGGTCACTGAAAGCACGCTTAGAAAACATAAATAGAAGATTTCCTCTTTTATTTGATAGGTCTGAAGGCAGATCTTTATTAGTAAGCATAAAGCATTGGTTTTGAAAGATCTCAGTATTTTATGTTTATATAGTTCTATACATTGAAGTATTCCTGATCAGCAAAAAATATAATGCTCTGGATGAAACTGAAAGTAACATAGAATATTTACAAAAGTAAATAGTATATTTGAAAGTGTTAAAATGGGACTCTTCCAGTATTATTTTGAATCTTTTTTGACGTGGGTAGGATGTGATGCAGAACTGATATACACTGATCTTAGAGGAACGTTGAAACCACCTTACTCCTAATATCAATCTTTGAAGTAGACAGTGTATGCCTCTATGCTATAAATACACTTCTTTAAGCCTTTTGCTGCTCCACTGATCAATCAGAATTGCTTCTGCTGAAAGATATCTGGTGGCACTGCAGAGGTTATTGCTACCTCCTTTTTCTCATTTGAAGAATGGAGCTGAAGTGTTTGAGCGTGTGGCATGCATGGGGGTAAGGGTCCTCTGCCTCCACCAGTCCTCATTCATCTAGGGAAGTGAAGATGTACCAATACTCTTATGTAAGTATGCAGGTGCGTTGTGCAAGTGCCTGTATGATATATGGGAAAGGTGGTGGTAGAGCTTAAAGGCAGTATTTCAGTTCTAGGGTATGGAAAAGTGGGAATCATCTGTTGGATCTGGTGGCTAGCACTTAGGGGGCTATTTGTGGGCATAACAACTTTGCAGAGAGGTGGTTGTGTATAGAACTGTGCTGTGTGAGGCTTTTTATCTGGAAGGTCAGTGAAATGTACGGTCTTTCAAGTACAACTCTTATTTTTTGAAACTTTTTGCAACTTTTACTTGGTGTCAAGAGACAGAGTGAATGAACATACACTTTCAGTGGTAAGCAGACTTCTGTTGCGAAAGGAGTTTTGGAAACAATTGTGACTTGGAAGGTATTTTCATGTAGTGCTCCACTAGATGGGTGATAGACGTTAGGGTCTGTAGGTCTGTAAGCTATGCTTTCGTACATGAATGAAGTATATTTATTCAGGCTGTTTGGTGCATCATTAGGAAAAAATTGCCACTAGAGTGCTGTGTTTTCTCATGTTATTAGCAAAGTAAATTAGTTAGTATTTTACCATTTGTTAATTATGGAAAATAATGAAAGAATGTTTAGACAGAGCCATTAGTGCCATACAAAAGGTTCATTTCAGTTTGATTTGTGTTCAAGTGTTATGACATCACAGTGGAAAAATCCTGATTTTCAGTTCTTCATGTATAAAAGCATTAAATAAGATAAAAAGTTGCTAAATTTCAAAAATAATAATGACTAAATTTCAGTTTTTGAAAACACATGTCAATGAGAGATCTGTAATTGATCCATTCTAACCTTTCATTTTGTATTTTTCCATGTAGTCGGAAATTATGGAGCACATAGTACTTCACTTTTTGAAAGATGCTTTTAGAGATTGAAAAATACTACAAACTCACTGAATAAAAATGCTGGCATTTCAGTTCTCAGATCTTGATTCCACTCTAGTTGCAGTCCCAGTGAAGTGAGTTAGGTGGTGTCTTCTAAATCCCCAAGAAGAGTGTAGTACACCTCACAAACATACTCAACTTGGATAACCTAACTTCCTCCTCAAAAGAATTTAAAGAATAGACAGAAAATTACCATTTAGTCCTTGAGAGATGATGCTGTAGGTCAGCCTGTAGACTGACAATATTGCAAAACATAGATCCCATAAATAAAGTTTTGTTTTGTCTTCCATGAAGAAACAAAGAATTAACTTTAAGTAGGAAATCATTACAATTTCTGAAGACTATTTAAATGATAATTCTTCCAAGGAAGGCTTCTTTTAAAGGTCAATATAATGTAAATTATTAAAAATGTTGGTGCTACAAAGCACTTTGAATACCTTGAAAATTAAACATATTAAAACTCATTTATCTTAAATGCATTAGTGGAAATGCAAAAATCTATAGTACTCTATCACAAATGGCTGAGTTATAGTGTGTGTTCAGTAACTCAGATAAATGGAGGTTTATAAGAAGGAAACCAATATTTAAAATTGGGAGTTAACTAGTAAAATTTAAAATGATGTCCATTCAGTAAGTTTCTAAGTTTTTTTGTTTTCTCTCTGGTGCAGTTGTCCAGATCTGCAAGAGTCTGGTGGACTGATTCTGTTTTCCTCATATTATTGTTTGTTTCTTAACACTCTAGTTGATTTAGGAATGATTTGACAGCCGTTAGAAAGCGTAATTTTAAGAAGTTTTGTCAAGGAATACTGTTAGGCTATTAGGAGTCAGTGTTCTGAATATTGAGTATTTCAGCAAAACAATGTTGTATTCAACTGTTGTGACTTGCAAAAAATGCAGTTAAGAACTGAACAAGGAAATACTTCTTGCCTGTTTGTAAAATTATGAAAGTGCAGAGGTAGGTCATGAAATTATTAGACTGTAGGTCTAAACTAACAAAAGGAACTTTCTACTTTTACCACAAGGTGCATCGCTAAATTGTGAAAACTACAGCCAAAGAATGTTGGGAAGACCAAAGACATAAATACATTGAAAAAAGTAATTGAGAATTCATAGAAACAAAGTCTATCAGCAGTTACTAAATGCAGTGATCACAAATCAATTTCATGTACTCCTGTTGTTGAGTTCATACAGAACGTTGTCCAGTCACAGAACCCATACTGCATTAGAATATGACCAAAATCTGGTCGTTCTGCCTCTTTATTGGAGAACTCCTTCAGCTTCAAGTAAACTCTTTGCTACTCCATGCAGGTATCTGGTTGCCTTTTTTTTTCCTCAGATAGCAGGAGTGATCCAGGTGCTCTGTCACAAGAATCTCTCTACCCTCAACATCTTGAGGGCAACCACCTGGCAGGAAATGCATCCACACCTCCACCCCTGAGGAAGCACACAGAAATAATTTTATGTTCACCAGACCTGTAGTAAGAGCCATTTTTTTCCCCCACAAAGGCCACTGGTAT